TCCCATCTATAATTCTGCATAGTAATACTTTCCATCCATAAAGTGAAATTCTCTGTTCCCCAGAATTTGCAAGATCACTAAAAAGCTAAACAGGAAAAAAAAAAGATTTAGTTGATGAATGCTCCTCCCAAACTAAGAGAAACAAGTAGTATATTATAGTCCTCTGATAAAATCATTTCACAGAAAAACTTACAAGAATAAATCTGGATATAACCAAGCAAATTAAAGGTTCACATCCTCATTCCTACCATTCCTCTGAGTCCTCCTGCAGTTTGTGCCTCCATGTATGTGACAAGCTAAGCACAGCTACAAAGCTGTACTCAGAATGCTCCTTAGAAGTGAGAATGGCCAGACTTCATGCCTCATACTTTGGTCATGTTGTCAGAAAAGACCAGTCCCTGGGAAAGGATATCATCCTAGGTAAAGTAGAGCATCAGCAAAAAGGGGAAGACTCTGGATGACACAATGGCTGCAAAGATGGGCTCAAAGCATGGCAACAACTGTGAGGATGGCGCAGGACCATTTAGTGTTTTGTTCTGTTGTACACAGGGTTGCTATGAGTCAACACTGACTCAATGGCACCTACAACAAACTAACAACAAAGTAGCACAAATCCAAATTTAGCATTATTACCAATAATAGTTTTTTTATAGGCCTCATTTGATCCATCTTCTAAAACAATAGGTTTGAAACAGAAAATGCTTCAAGTTTCTCATAGTAACAAAATTTTAAAGCTATAGACTACATTTCTTCTGCTACTTTGACATTTTCTACTTTCTTATACTGATCTATCTAAATACTGTGATCTGCAATAGAACAAACATTTTTTATGTGTGTCTTCTCAGGTGACACAATCTAAGGTCAAGTCCCACATGTAAGGTTTCAATGTCCTACTCCTAGGCCAACAAATAAATTACTAAAGAAAACAAGTGGACGGTGACAGGCTCAACATTTCAATTGAAACTTATGTCAAAACACTGTTATATATGAAATCCAAATTTCTTATTCCAAGACCCTATTCAATTATTTATATTTTAATAATGCTTTACAGTTTAAAGTTCTACTTAAACATCTATTCTCATTTCATACATAAGTAGCAAAGTTCAAAGAGTTTCTGTGACTTGTTCAAGGTCACAATGAAAGTGACAGAGTTAAGATATTCTGACTAACAATGCAGTAGTGTGATGCAAAAACCTATCCATTAATCTCAGCTGGATAATCAGCTTATATATACAAAAGGATCCTGGTACTAAGAAAGGTGAAAGGTGGCACAGGGAGTAATAATTTATAAAACATTTGGCTTAATGGTAGCATAGTGCCTAAGGCACTTGACTGCTAATCAGACTACCAGCCACTCCTCAGAAGGAAGGCTGGGCAATCTACTTCTGTAGTGATACCACCTTGGAAACCCAAGGAGGAGTTGCTATGAGTTGGGGCCAACTAGACAGCACATAACAACAACAATGTTCACATTTTGCAAATGGAAAACTCATTTTGTCATTCAAAAACCAAACCAAACTCACTGCCATCAAGTGGATTCTGGCTCATAGTGATCCCATTGGGTTTCCAAGGCAACAAATTTTTACAGAAGTAGATTGTCCCATCCTCCTTCTGTGGAGCGGGTGGTGGGTTTGAACTGCCAACCTTCTGGTTAGCAATCAAGTGCTTTAGGCACTACACCACCAGAGTTCCATTTTGTCATTGCTGTTGTGTTGTTGTTAGGGGGCCATCAAGTCGCCTCTGACTCATAACCACCCTATTAGGGGTTATATATTGCTATCAGAAGAATACAGCCTAAAATTTCAGTTTCGTAATGCCTGATCCAGAGGCTTACGCAGCATTTCTTCCTGAAGACCAAAGAATCCTACAAAGCTTACCATGACCAACAATTGAGTTTCTGATAGTCCTCCACCAAACTTGTTCCTCCTTAAGATTTGCCTATCTCAGTTGATGGCCGTTCCACCCTTCCAACCGCAATTCCTCTTTCTCCAATACCCCACATAGCTCTGGTAGCATAGTGGCTAAAGCACTTGACTGCTAACCAGAAGGCTGGCGGTTCAAACCCACCAGCCACTCCTCGGAAGGAAGGATGGGCAATCCTACTTCTGTAGTGATACTGCCTCGGAAACCCAAGGAGGGGTCGCTATGAGTCAGGGCTGACTCGATGGCACATAACAACAACAACAACAGGGCACATCAGAAAATCTTACTTGCTCTGCCTTTGAAAGAGAATCAAATCATTATTGCTAATATAATGTCTTCTCTAGGTTATTGCAATAGCTTCCTAACAGATCTTGTGTATCTACCCTTACTCCCTCAAAGTTAATTCTCAAAACATTAAGAGATCCTTTTAAAATGTCAGATCATATTACTCACCCACATAAAACTCTCCAATGGCTCCACATCTCCCTTAGAATGAAAACCAAAGTCCTTACAATAGTGGCCTGTAACAGCCTACATAATCGGCAGCTCTATTTACTACTGACCACATCTCCAGCTACTCATGCCTTAATTTACTCCACTACAGCCAGACTGAACATGCCAGGCACTTTTCCTGCCTCAGAGTTTTTCACTTGCTATTTTCTCTTACTAGGATGTTCTTCTCATCTACTAGGCACTCTGTGGGAGAAAGATGTAGCAGTCTGCTTCCAAAAAGATTCACAGCCTTGGAAACACTATGGGGCAGTTTTATTCTGTCCTCTAGATAGGGTTGTGAGTCAGAATCAACCTTTATGGCAGATTAGAGTACCAGTTAAAGTGTATCAGCATTGTGCAGAATCAAACTCTTTAAATGATCACTGAAGGTGACTTTCCATGGAATGACCAGTATATTTCAGAATAAATTTCAGAACCTCTTCTGTCTGTGATAGACAGTCTGGCTGCTACAAAGATCTGTGGTTTTACTGATGGCCTTCAGTCACGTTCTAGACCAGGGGTTAGCAAACTATGTGCTACCTGTATCTGTAAATAAAATTTTATTGGAACACAGTCAGGCCTTTTTGTTTATGGACTATTTATGACTGCTTTGGAGCTCTGGTGGCACAGTGGTTAATGCATTAGGCTGCTAATCAAAAGTTTGGTTGTTTGAACTCACCAGTTACTCTGCAGGAAAAAGATGAGGCAGTCTGCTTCTGTAAAGATTTACAGCCTTGGAAACCCTATGGGACAGTTCTATTCTGTCCTATAGGGTCACTATGACTTGGAATCACCTCTATGGCAGGGGGTTATGACTGTTTTAGAGCTACAATGGAGAGCTGAGTAATTGCTATCTAGACCATATGACCCACCCACCTAAAATATGTACTATCCTTCCTTGTAAGAAAAGTTTGTTGATCCCCTTTCTAGATAATTGATTTAGATAAATAACTTCCTATTAACAAAGCTAATCAACATAAGTAGAATTTGTTTTCTACTTTATTTATTTATTTAATCCTCTGTCAAACCTATATGTATTCGTGGGTATAATCCCATTTGCCTTCCTACCCTTTTAGCTTGAGTGTCTATCTATGTATTGCACAAGTGTTAAACCAAAAAACAAAACAAAACAAACTCACTGCTGTCAAGTCAAGTCTGACTCATAGTGACCCCTCTTTGGGTTTCTGAGGCGATAGCACTATGGAAATAGATTGCCCAACCTTCTTTCCAAGGAGTGGTTGGTGGGTTTGAAGCACCAGCCTTCTGGTTAGCAGTCCAATGCCTTAGGCACTACACACAAATGTTACAGGCAACAAAGGTAAATACTATTACACACCTAATGCTGTAATAACAGTAATGACAATAATCTACAAGTGGACATAAATTTTTTTAAGACAAAAATAAAAATAAATAAGAAACTTTAAAAAAGATATTCAGTATCTAAAATAAACAGATCCCAAAAACATTTTTCAGCAAGTGCACTTTTTATGGCGTATCAAGGCAGAGGGAATTAGAAATATGACTTGACTACAGAACATATGTGGGAGCTCTGGTAGCATAGTGGCTAAGGCACTTGACTGCTAACCACAAGGCTGATGGTTCAAACCCACTGGCCACTCCCCGGAAGGAAGGTTGGGCAATCTACTTCTGTAGTGATACTGCCTCGGAAACCCAAGGCGGGGTCGCTATGAGTCGGGTCTGACTCGATGGCACATAACAACAACCACACAGAACATATGCAGTCTAGGAATGCCTAGAAATACAAAATGTTACTGACCAATTTTCTTCTCATCACAAATTTCACTCAATAAATGAAATTTTTTATTTACTGAAATTTCTAAGACAAATTTTAAATGAAAGATGTAGATAACTTACTATCACTTAATATATTTTATAACAAAAAAAAGGAAGCAGAATCAAAACCTCTTTTAATAAAGACAAATATCCAAAGAGAAAATTTAAATCTATAAACAAAATTATAAAACCTTATTGATATTAGTAAAAAAAAGTTTAAGGAAGAAGAATTAAGATAGAGACTCACAGAAAAAGATTACTTCAAAGATTTAAAGACTGATGGGCCAATTCTAAAAAGATACATGGATAAGGATTTTCATCAAAGGGCTGTTTATAATAAAGGAAAACCAAGAACATTATAAATGTCCCAACAGTCATCACTAGGAGACCAGTCAAATAAACAGTATTTCAATAAGGTCATGTAGGGCAGAAAATACTGACGAATATATACTAAACATCCAAAGAGATCCCCACCATATGTTACAAGCAAACTTTCAAGAATTAGGTATAATATAATCGTGTTTGTGTAAAACCGAAACATGAAAAACAGACATATTAGTAGGAGATAGTACTCTGCATGCATTTGAGCACACACACATACACAAATGTCCACATAGAACACATACAGAAATTTGAATTGTGGCTGTTGCTCAGTGATGACATTAGGATGTTTTGAAGTGTTTATACATTTTGTTTTTTTCTTAGGTTTATCTAAATGATCTCCCCCCCGGATTATTAATTAAAAAAAAAAAATGCTATTTCCATTTTCAAGAACAAAAGTCAAGACTTACCCAACTAAAAGTAGAAGTGCACAAATCAGAGCAAATCCCAAAGTATATTTGAGTGCTGTTTTAATTTGCTAGATGTCAAGAGGAAAAAAGTATACATTTAGTAAGACTTTTAAAAATATAAAATATACTCCCTATCATGTTACAGTATATCAAGTGTACATTTATATTCAACAAATATAGTATGCAGGAAATAATTTTAATATCTCATTAAAATTTTTTAAACTGACTATATTTAAAATAGCACTTGGAACATACTGTATTAAATACAATGTTGTTGTTGTTGTTATTTGCCGTCGAGTCACCCCCGACTCATAGCGACCCCTCCTTGGGTTTCCGAGGCAGTATCACTACGGAAGTAGGATTGCCCAACCTTCCTTCCGAGGAGTGGCTGGTGGGTTTGAACCGCCAGCCTTCTGGTTAGCAGTCAAGTGCCTTAGGCACTATGCTACCAGAGCTCCTAAATACAATATTATTTAAAATAATTTTATTTTATTTACTATTTAATACTTATTACAATGTAGATATTAGAAAATTTTAAATTTCCTATGTGGTAACATATTTCTATTAGATACCACTGTTTTAGAAAAATTTAAATGAAAACAGAATTACATCATTCTTTGAAAACAGAGGAAACAGTCTATTTTTTTCCTAAATTGAGACCTCTCAATTAAAGATACTTACAGTGCATTTACTAGTATCATCATCATCCTTTTCTTCATAATAGAAGTAGACAAAAGGAATCCAAAAGAACACACAGAACAATATAACAGAATACAGAGCTGTAGAAATAAACAATAACAGAGTTTTACTAAATGCATATATACTTAATGATAGATATATATACACATACATACATTAAAAACCAAACCCACTGCCACTGAGTCAACTGAACTCACAGCAAACCTATAGGACAGAGTAGAACTGCCCCATTGGGTTTCTATAGCTGTAAATCTTTACAGAAGTAGACTGTCACATCTTTTTCCTGTGGAGTGGCTGGTAGGTTCAAACCCCCAACCTTTTGGTTAGAAGCTGAGCACTTTAATCTCTTTGCTTCCAGGGCTCCTTATATACATACATTATTATTTATTTATGTATTTATTTACCAAATTCACTCTACCATCTGATTTCCTATACTTATAACTATGTATATATATGATATACAAATCAGCCTTTTCTCTCTTCCAATCCCAAGAAATCAACAGCACTATCATAATAATGCAAATTAGCTATTAGCAATTTTTGGCAGGAACTCTGTTGGTGGAGTGGTTAAAGCATCTGAAGCAGAAGGGAATTGAAACAGGTTTCCAGGCTTTTGTTTTTCACCTAGCCAAGCTGAGGCAAACATTTCAAACCGCCACAATAGATTTCTATTTTCTATCTAGTCTGCCTGATGCCCCTTGCTTAGCCGCTTTAACAGTTTATCTTACAGGGAGAGATACCAGGGCTTTCCAGTAGACCAAGGATGAAGTGGTAGCCAGTTCAAACTAGTTTTGGCTCACAAACACGCATACTGAGAGAAACGGAATGAAGTTGCTCAGAACTTACATCTCCCTCTCCCTAAGACCCAATCAGCTGATGATAGGAAGTAGCTGTAACTCATCCAACATGCAAGTGAAATGCATTAAAAATTGACCGTCCCTTTAAACCGAGGCAAATGAGACTTCAGCCAATCTCCAACTAATCTACAATCAAATTCTCAGAATTTTTATGCATATGTGTAACTTTCCCTTCCTTAACCCTATAAAAGCCACAACCTAACCCCCACTCACGAAGTCAGATTTAGGTGCATTTCCCCTGGCTCCTACTAAGCACTTAGTAATAAAACCAACTCTCTCTTTCACCAAAACCTGGTATATTCTGTTCCCTGGCCTTTCAGTGCATCAGGCAGGGACCCACTTTGGTCAGGATTCACATTCAGCTGCTAACCAAAAGGTCAGTGGTTCAAACCCACCAGACACTATGTGGGAGAAAGACGAGGTAGATGTTTTTTGTCAAGATTATAGCCTTGGAAACCCTATCAGGCAATTCAACTTTGTCCTACAGGGTTGCTATCAGTCAGAATCAATTCGATGTTGTTGTTGTTACGTGCCTTCAGACTCAATGATAGTGGGTTTATTTTTTGTTTTTAAACTGTTAACAAGAACAATGTTATAATTAAGCTAAGACATTGGTAGCTAAGAACTGAGCTCTTACTATATACTAGACACCCAATCCAAAGAAGTTCCTGTGTACCACCTCATTTAATTCTTCAAATGAACTTCAATTGTTGTATTCATTCCAACTTAAAATCAAGCAGAGTTGACAACATTTATTAATAGTGCTGGCAGTTGTAATTGATATTATCCTTTCAATATTGATACAAATTGTTCCCCATTCTTTGTTTAAAATACACAATATTATAAAATTGATCTTATACAAATCAAAATAGAGAAAAGATAAGAACAACAAAAGTATACAACTGGATTCAAAGTTAATTACACCTTCTTCTCACTTATCAGCTATCTCATTACCTAACATTTCAGATTAACAATAGTAAAAGAACCTACTATCCAACTATTTTGCTATTAACAACATACATCTGGCAGTAACTAACGCTGACATGTGAGGCAAGACTAACAGTGGCTGTGATAGTCAAGATTTGTCACTTGACTGAGCCATGATTCACAGTGGTTTGGCAAATATGTCAAGATGTAATTTTGCAGTTATGTAATGATCCAAATTGGCAGTTATGTTAGTCATCATCCATTTTGTGATCTGATGTAGTCATCCTCCATTTTCACATAAAGCTGATTTCACATTAACAACCTGGTCTTTGGAACCTAATCATGTTGATTAAATGCGAAGAGGATGTAAAGGATTTATGATTTATCTGACTAAAAATAATCTGTTAGATATGAGATACTTTCAACTAGTGGTCAATCAAAATATTTTATTTCATTATAGAACTTAAAGTGTAAACAGCCAAAGATATATATTTAACAATAAAAACAGCATAAACAACTTTTAGGGGCTTAATAAACCTACCCAAGAAACCTGCTTTTAAATTTTTCTGTGTATTCACATTTGTTTGCATAGACATAAGTTCCTGGAAAATTAGGGTACAATATAATTATATAAAGTAATAACAGGATGATAACCATAGTGTCTTTGTAAAAGAAGGCATTTTATTGGTAATGTGTAATAAAATTTCAACCACTTATTCTGCCAGAAAGAATAATTGTATGAGTTTGAGAACTTTGAAACATAACCTTAACACATGCTAGCTCTATGTTACTTCACTGGATGACACTTATAAAATACATGTTGAGTGAAATATGTGAAATTTATTCACAATTATGAAGTATGTGTTGAATGCAACACAGCTAAAAAAAACTCAGAGCAAGCAGGACTCTTTGTACCAATTGAAAGGTCAGAGTTAATTTATAGTGAGCAATCACAAAATAACTGCCCACATATTGCATTTCTGACACTACAGATATTTATTTAAAATTATGATGTCTTTTAATATTGTGAACTCTGGTGGCATAGTGCCTAAGGCACTAGACTGCTAACCAGAAGGCTGGTGGTTCAAACCCACCAGTCACTCCTGGGAAGGAAGATTGAGCAATCTACTTCCATAGTGATACTGCCTTGGAAACCCAAGGAGGGGTTGCTATGAGACAGATTCAACTCGACGGCAGTGAGTTTGGCTTGGTTTTGGTTAATATTGTGAGTAAACAATAAATAAGGATAATGAGAAGTGGTGTTTCTATACAAACCAAAGAATCTTGAGTATTATCATTTATATTGCAAGTAAAAGAGTCACCAGCGATAAACATATATCCAAAAATTAACCAAAATAAATATTTCAAAAGCTTCATAAATTAAACATAAAAGGGCCACAACCGTAAACCACAAAGAAACTTTTATGGGAAAAAAATGTTTAAAGGCTGCTAAAAATAATGGTAATTTGAGTACATACATCCTAATAATGATGCTAACATTATGATTAAAATACTCAAAATAATTTTTGTAAAAATAAGAAAAAAAGTCTGAATTAGCACAACAGATTTTAGCAGGTTGGACAACCTTCTATCAAAAAAACTGATAAATTGATAGATGCACTTAAGTTTGACTTCAATCTCTATGTATCATCTGCATCTGTAAAAAGGCAAGCCACAGGCTTGGAGAAAAATACATGCAGTACATATTTAACAAAGGACCCCTACAAAGAATATAAAAAGAACTCCCTAAAACTTGAAAAAAGATAAACAACCCACTTTAAAAAAAAAAAAAAAAAGCAAAACACTTAAGCAGACAAGTCATTATAGAAAACCTACAAAAACAGCCAATAAGTACTTTCAAAAAGGTATTCATCATCATTAAATTAGGAAAATGCGAATTGAAACCACATTTTGATATTCCATACCCACTAGATTGGATAAAATTAAGCAACTGACATTAAGAAGTGTTGACAGAAATGTATAACAATGTAGACATTTTCGTTCTTTCTTGATAGGAGTGAAAAATGGTACCGCACTTCAGAAGATAGTTTCGTGGTTTCTCATCAAGATAAACACACACCTATTATATGACTAAATGACTCTATTCCTTAATATGTAACTATTTTAGGGATCCCACAAGCATCCACATACTTGGCTATTTGCTAAAATGACTCACAGAACTCAGAAGCAGTCACACTCATGGCTATGACTCACTACAGAGAAATAATACAAAGCACAATCCGTAAAAAAAAAAAAAAAAAACCAGACACAGGTAGAGTGTAGAGGGAAGGAAACCAGGTGTAGGCTTCCAAAGTCCTCATTCACAAAGGTCTCACAGATGTACTTCTTCCTGCAGCAATGAAGTGGAGTAATACATGCTAAATGTTTACACCCAGACAAGCCTCTTGAGTCACAAAGTCTAAAGCATTTACTGTGGATTGGTCACGTAGGCACATCTGTCATGATTACCAAAATTACAGACATGTAGAAGTCATGTTTTACACAGTCTAGACAAGCTAGTACTACATGGTTCAGTACTCAGGTATACAAAACAATTTACCAATTAGTAAGACAGGAAATATTCTAAGGGCTAAATTCCTAAAGGTTGGTCAAAAGTCAGGCACACAAGAAGGCCCTCCTGAAGATAAGTGAGAGTTGAGCAATATCAGGTCTGCTTCTATCAACTTTTCCCCAAGAAGAATGCGAACAGGAACACTATTCCAAACTGGAAATGATTCATATGTCTATCAACAGGTAAATGGACAAGCAATCTGCAGTGGCATATTCATACAAAAGATTATTACACAGTAATAAAAAAGAATAACCTACTGATACTTGAGAAACATGATCTCACAGACCTTCTGCTGAATAAAGCAAGCCAGACACAAGAGGGGATTCTCTACAATTGGACTTAAAATAAGTTCTAGAACTGACAAAACCAATCTATTACAAGGCAAATAAAAAAGAGGGTAACAACCCTGGAGGAAAAAAATGGTGAAAGACAGGACTCAAAAGAGACTCTATTATACCCCAAGTACTTCATGACTCAAAATAGATTCACAACAACTGCTCTAAATCTTTCTTTCTCTGACATCACACTTTATGATATCTTTCTAATAATCTGATTATTTTTTCTCTGTCTCCTCTATGGAGAGTTTCTCCTTTGGTTTGCAAATGTTAAACTATAAAAATGGAATTAACATTTTTTATGTGTTTCAAATGTATTCTAATGTCAAGTTGAAATTATATATCAGTAAATGGAAAAAAAAATGCTTCTACCACCATCATGAAACAGA